ATCTGATCCATTTACTATTCATTCACTGACATTTGTTTGAGTCACAAATTATTTTATTGTTTTTTTCTATTGTTCATTGTTGTAGCTCGGCAAGTTTAGTTATTCATAGTTTACTAATTTGTATTTGAGATTGTCAGTGGCGGAACTACCGCCGGTGCAGCCGGTGCCGGGGCACCGGGGCCTGTGGCTGTGTGGTCCGGTCCTGGGCTCCCCCACAGCCTCAGTGAATTGTAGTTTATTATGGGAGCAAGCTTGGAGTGGTGGATACTTTACAACACACACAGGACCATGGGGAACAAAAGTGGTCATCCTCCAGAAGGAAGGACAGTGTCCGCACCAATTCAGAGATGATTTGAGGATCTACAGCTGAGTGGTACACAAATAAGATACATTTTTATTAATAGTTAATGTATTTAAATGCATTTTTAAGGTTTAATTCCTGGGTTTAGTGTCATTTTAAAGTGAACCTATATTGTGCCTGTTTTCTTGCTCCCTGCTGCTCATACTTAACTTCCATTCACACCTGAGCTGCCCCATTCGGCATTGGAGCAAAGTGAAATACCTTGTACTTATGAGTATGAAGCAGCATGTGATTCTCTTCTCTGCTACCCACAATGCATAAGTGGCCAATTGCCAGTCTTGTTATGGTTACATGGAGGTTAGGGTCCATAGAGCTTATATGGGGTTTTATTAATTGCTCTGGTCGGTAAGTCTAGAAAGTAAGTATACCTGTTAAGTATATGCAGCAGCAGCAAGGCGGTGTTGGGGGGCTATGGACCCAGGCTATTAGGCATTAACATGACTGGGCAAAGTACAGGTTCACTGTAAATATATACAAGTTATATATCATCTTTATGAAATGTCATCCATTTCACCACATCAGGATAGCAAATACAGGAATACCAAGAACTGCTAAAATGACAAGTGTCAAAATCGGTGACATAACCCAAATGCCATTCCTATCACACAGGACAATATTGTTCTTCAGGTTCTTCCTTTCTGTTTACTACATCTACTGACCCACCTATATCTGTCATTTCTTTTCTTCACCTCATCTTTTTTACATGAAAAGAGAAATAAAAACCCGTTCTGTGAAATAACTGTCACAGGTCTCTTTCTGTTTTCCATAACCACAGACCTGCTACACAAGATCTATTACACTTCTGTTCAAACTGAATACATGGTGTTCTGCAGAGGCGTAACTAGTGACCTCAGGGCCCCGGTGCAAGAATCCATGAAGGGCCCCCCCCCCCAAAGAAAAAAATCAAAACAAACCCCCTCCTCTTCCATGTCCCCAGCTTCCCTCCTTCTCGTCCCCAGCTTTCAGCTCCCTGACCCCACACTCTCCTCTCACATGTCCCCTTCATAATCTCAGCACCCAATAACTCCCTCTTCGTGTCAGCAGCACGTCTCTGACACCCAGGGAGTTGGAGCTTTCCATAGAACACAGGCAGTTCTACAGTTGGCAGCCGTTCTGTGTGATGAGGGAGCGGGGATAACCCGCTTCGCACTCATTGGCTGTTGCGCCGGCTCGATCATTCTTCACGCTGCGCCCGGAACAAGATGAGGGGATCAGCGTGAAGCATGCAGGGCCCAGGACAGGAGGAAGAGGTCCTGGTACTGATATTAGCGGTCACTATGGGCCCCGTTCTCCTGTCCTGGGCCCCCTCTAAGTGGCGGAACTCCAGTGCCCTCTGCGACCCTGGTAGTTCCACCACTGGCGTATCATATAATGAGTGGGCCAGAAATACAGCGGGAGCCATACTATGCATCAAAAATAACAGTTTTGATTTTATTGTGCTGTGAAGTGATCTGGCCATGTTTGTAACATTTCTTTATGAATCAGGATTTACCAAAATCTCTGTGCCTGGAATTACTTTAAATCCACTTCAAAGTAGTATTAAACTCTCAAACGTTTCTCAATAATGAATCCAGATCAAACAAACCTACATTGCCCAGCAAAGCATTGCTTTACATTTTTGTCCAAACACTTACAGTCATCATGTTTCTGAGCAGCTGCTTCCAAGTGTCTCAGCACAGCTTCCCTGAACTTCCTGCCCAGTACATGATCACAAAGGACATTGCAGATTCCAGCAACTGTTCATCTACTAGCAGGGAGGAGGGATGAGAAGGGGTCCAGGGGGAAGGGAAGTAGCTTGATTTGCTGTGTCTGTGTGTTTATGAAGACGCGCACAGCTTACTAGCACACACAAGGGTGCCTGCATAGCACTCTACTTGAGAAAGGAGGCATTCTAAAACAGGAAGTCAGGACCAGTGTTCAGGTGACCAGCTGATTCTGCAGGAAACTAAAACTTTTATGCATCAATAGGGATCCCAACCTGAAAGAAGCAATTTCAGGGAGGTGACCTTCTCATTTCAGGGCGGTGCCCTCTGCCCCCCCCCCCCCCACTCCGGGGGGGGGGGGGGGGAGAGAGCACCCCCCTGAAACGATGGCAGATAGCAAGGAAGCAATAGCTTCTTTGTTATCTGCAGGTTTTGTTTTTTTTAGTATTCTGGCAGCTGCTGCCGTCAGAATAATAATTTAAAAAAAACTAGCATAGGAATGCATAGCTACATTCCTATTGGCTATTTCAATTTGCAATAGCCAATAGCAAGCTAGCTATTGCACCCGCCCTCTGGTGTCAATCACTAAAAGGGGAACTGATGGAGAACTTCAGGTCCCCCTCTGCTGATTGACAGCAGCAGTGGGCGGGTGCAATAGCTAGTTTGCTATTGGCAATTGCAAAGTGAAATAGCCAATAGGAATGTAGCTATGCATTCCTATGCCCTTTTTTTTCTTCTGACTTATGGCGACCGGGGCTTTAGGGGTCCCCCGCTCTTTTCCGCTCTGCTCCATGTGAACACTGAGACGGGAGAGCTGCACTCGCAGCCTTCCCATCTCAGCTGTCACAGGAGAGCCATGAAGTGCTGTGCTAGGACTCCTGCATTGGTGTTGACAGGTTCAATAAAGAGAACCTGTCACCTCCAAATACTATCACACAGGGGCTTGTTACCCTCTGTGTGATAGCAATAAAGTTGAGTGAAAAAAACAAAAATTGATACAATTAAAAAATTATCAAATTTAAATTTTAAAAAGTAAAACATAATAACAAAAAGTAAATTTAAAAAGTAAAAAAAAATATAAAAAAGTAAAAACTTAAAAAAATTATAAAAAAAGTAAAAGATAATAAGATAAATAAAAATTTTAAAAAAGGAAAATCAATAAAAAAATGATAA